CGGGGGGGCGGGGCGCCCGAAGCCCCGCCCCCCAGGCTCCCAGAGCCCGCGGGTCCGCCGCGCACGTGCCGCTCGGGACTCCCCTCGGGGGCTTGCCCCTCGCAGCCGCCCCTGCCAGCTCAGCAGCTGCCTGGGGAGCCCCTGCGAAGGGTGTGAGGGCACGTGGGCATGAGAGGGGCACACAAGGGCACTGTCCCATTATTAACACATCCCTCCCTCCATGGGCTCTGGAGATGGGGAGCCGCTGGGGTTCAGGGCCGAGTCCGGCAAGGGGAGGCTGGCGTCCTAGTCGCTGGTTTGCAGGGTGCAAATCGAACCCAGTGAGATCCTACTACTGCCCCATCCCATCCCATCCACCCCTCGTGTTGGATGTCACCGGCCATGCCCGTCCAGCGTTGGGCTGCGGTCAGCTTGGGCTCGAGCCGTGTCCATCCAGCGTTGGGCTGGAGCAGAGTCAACGTCTAGGGATGCTGCTCCTGGGAAGTGAAACCTCGAGGCTGAGGGGGGAGAGAGGACCGCTTTGAATGCCCCGCTGCAGCCAAGGGAGCTTTTAAACAAAAGCAGCATGAGCTGTGCGGAGAGACTGGGATCATGTCCTAGCAGTAACGAGACCCTCTTGCATCATTAAAAGCTTCCTGATCCCTGTCACTGGTTTTGTGTGTCTGGGTGGGTGGCTGCCAAAGCCTGTTTCGTCTGTGCGCCAGGGTGAGGGTTGCAATGGGACGCAGTGCCTGTGAAACACCAGCCTCCACGAAGGAGGTGTGATGTGTCATGGTGGGACGTGTGCCGCTCAATCGGCCAAGAGACGAATCCATTAAAAGCACCCTTAAAGTGGGTCCAGGGTGGCTGCCGGGACCTCACAACACCTGCATGCGTGCACACAGGAAGCCAAAGCTTGAGCAGGCCTAGCTCCTACAGACGGCACGGGGGCTGACGATGTGATGTGTGTCATCTGTGATCCTAGTTTGGGATGATCATCCTTGAGACAGCCAATGGTGCATGTCGCTCTTAAACTCTCAGGGGAACTGCAAGTCTTTTTGCCCCGGTGCTCCCCACATCCTAGAGATGGTGGGCCAGACCCAAAACAAGGATGCGGGTGCCTGAAACAGGACTAGGCAGAAATATGATCTAAACCCTCTCCCCTCACGTACTCAGCAACCATCCTACCCTAGAGGCTCTTATATTCCCTTATTATCTCCATTTTTGATGCTCCCTAGGCGATGGTGTTCTGCCTTTTGCGCAGGTCCAGAACTGCCTGTCTGAGCATTCAGATGCCTAATACTTGCTAAAGACCCATTTGGATCCCAAATGTAGGGACACTG